CGCGTCGGTGAAATCATCTTTGCGAACGTACGTCCTCGAGATGTACAATACTGATGACTGCCTGCGTGCGCATACGAATGGGAGAATAATGAATTCTTATCCGTGAGCATGTGTGCATTGCGCGAGTTATGCAAGAAGTCATGCTTCGTACCGAGTCGTCGAACGTCATTTAAGTTGCACGTTAAGAGTTAAAACGCGTATTAGTCACGATGCAAGCGATTGCAATCGGAATAATCAGATATCATAAACGGCTAATAAATTATGACATCTCGATTTGAGAAGAATAATGACATATAACAAAAGATATTGATACACAATTAAAGACACACATGCAATAATAAATCAACATCATACTGTGTATGCGTGCAAGTATTTATCTCTAATACTCAAAGTAAAACAATAATTACATAATATAAAGTAATAATAAATAACAATAAATGAATTGAATAATTATTATTCAATAATAATACAATAACATTCTCTCGATTTCGAGGTCAATATGATACAAAATCACACAGTATTAACTTTGCATAAATTAATATTGTTTAGTGATAATAAATTTATATACACACAATATAATTCATGTATTTAGAAAATGTCCTTTTAAATTGATAAAATATTGATTTGTTCATCTCTCTCTCTCGGATTATATTTTGATAATTGACAAATTATATTTACACACATTTTATAAAACATAATTTTCAAATAGGTATATCTATATTATTTGGATCGATGTGTGCTTTGCGATTTTTTGCTTTACGCAAAAAAAGAAAAAGAAAAGAAAAGAAAAGGAAAAAGAAAAGCGAACGGGACAAAGGATATCTCGCGAGACTTATATATGTCCTTTTAACATATGTTGCGGCAAAGGATGGAAAAGGATTCGGATTTATCTTTGATTCTGCGTTGGTAGGATGGCAAAAGGAGGGAAAGAAGAGGAAAATGACAAAAGGACATATCAATTCCATAATAGTATCTGTAGTAGTTTCATTGAAACCATCGACGAACAGAAACACATCATTTAGCTTAAATTCTAGGAGATTTTTCTTTGTTTCTATAGAAATCATGATAGATTCATACTCTCAGTTTGAGAAGAAGAAAAAAATTCGATGCAAGCGTCAGCAAGCGATGATGCATCAGAAATGATTACAAAAAAGACAAGAGATTATTATCAATTCTAATCAACTTGTTGCATAATTAATTAAGTACAATTAAATTAACATTAAGGATGTTTTGGCTGTACAATAGTAGCAAAAAACTGTCAAAGTTAAAAAAAAACATTTCTTACGTTTATATTGTTTGAAAAATCAAATAAATAAATCTAGATTATAAAAAGAATTAAAGTATCACAAAATAATATGGTTTTTAACGTCTTCGTAAAAGAAAATAGTTGTAATTAATATTTTTTCTAATTTATGATAAAAACTTTTGAAACCGGGTAATTTGCAGAAAAAAGAGAGAGAGAGAAAGAGAGAAAGATAATATTTTTCTACAATTTTTAGTAAATAACTTTTAAACGAGTAAGTGGATCTAAATCAAGTTTTACACAAATATTTATTAGAGTTTTCTTAATATATGTGCAAATTTTTATTTCGTTGGCAATGTTTTTTCCTTGTCAAATTTGTCAATAAGTGCTACTATGCGCGATTTTCTATAAGAATCAATACTACCTTTAAATTTAAATAATTTCCAAACTGTTAAGAGAATTATGGTCAGATTTTGCACAGATACTCAAAAGAAATAGTAGAACAGTCTACGAAATTTTCATACTTTTGTCAATGTTCTGACATATGACACATATATCCTTAATAAAAACAAAGATTGCTATCGTAAAAATCGAAACGTAAAAAAATAATAAAAAGTAAGAAATGTTTTTATAAAAAAAAATGTATGAAAAGTATAGATATATAATAAAGAAAAATGGTTTAAAAATCCTCTCTCTCTCTCTCTCTCTCTTGTAATAAACTTATATGTATAATGTATCGTGAAATTCAATTTCTATTTATGTAATAATAATAGTTTATTCTTGTAAAAAGAGCCTTTAAATGTGTATGTATATGTATGCAACTGCACGAGAAAAAAATTTCACTACAAAGAAATAAATAACCGCAAATTTGAAGATTGCATATTTGTGATATTATTTTTAATTATATATATCCTGAAATTTCGTGCGCTTGCATACAAGTTTCAATTAATTTACCTCAGCGCTTAAACATTTTTTTTTTATTTTTGTAATCCACAAACCGCATGATTTTCTGTTCTAAACGGAAGTAAAAATACAGCTTGAGTAAATAAAGGAGAAAAAATGGATTTCAAAGGGAGATGCGAAATTGATACTTAGAAAATGTGGCCATAGACCTTAGAAGTGTTTACAAAATGTCAATTATAAAACTATTATTAATGCAATAAAAATCACAAAACTATTATTAATGCTATTGTGTATGTGCTCTATTAGATAATAACTTTATTTTCGCATTTATTATATTACTATCATAAAATATTCGATATCTGGGTTATTTTAAATTACGTAACGTGAATTACATTATTATGTGACAAATATATTTATATTATTATTTTTTTGTAGTAATTATATTATTATTTTCGCGATTTTCTATAAGAATCAATACTACCTTCAAATTTAAATAATTTCCAAACTGTTAAGAGAATTATGGTCAGATTTTGCACAGATACTCAAAAGAAATAGTAGAACAGTCTACGAAATTTTCATACTTTTGTCAATGTTCTGACATATGACACATATATCCTTAATAAAAACAAAGATTGCTATCGTAAAAATCGAAACGTAAAAAAATAATAAAAAGTAAGAAATGTTTTTATAAAAAAAAAATGTATGAAAAGTATAGATATATAATAAAGAAAAATGGTTTAAAATCTCTCTCTCTCTCTCTCTCTCTCTCTCTCTCTCTCTTGTAATGAACTTATATGTATAATGTATCGTGAAATTCAATTTCTATTTATGTAATAATAATAGTTTATTCTTGTAAAAAGAGCCTTTAAATGTGTATGTATATGTATGCAACTGCACGAGAAAAAAATTTCACTACAAAGAAATAAATAACCGCAAATTTGAAGATTGCATATTTGTGATATTATTTTTAATTATATATATCCTGAAATTTCGTGCGCTTGCATACAAGTTTCAATTAATTTACCTCAGCGCTTAAACATTTTTTTTTTATTTTTGTAATCCACAAACCGCATGATTTTCTGTTCTAAACGGAAGTAAAAATACAGCTTGAGTAAATAAAGGAGAAAAAATGGATTTCAAAGGGAGATGCGAAATTGATACTTAGAAAATGTGGCCATAGACCTTAGAAGTGTTTACAAAATGTCAATTATAAAACTATTATTAATGCAATAAAAATCACAAAACTATTATTAATGCTATTGTGTATGTGCTCTATTAGATAATAACTTTATTTTCGCATTTATTATATTACTATCATAAAATATTCGATATCTGGGTTATTTTAAATTACGTAACGTGAATTACATTATTATGTGACAAATATATTTATATTATTATTTTTTTGTAGTAATTATATTATTATTTTTTATATTTTTTATATTTGTATTATTATTATTTTACTATCACGTAAAAATATCTTATTATTATACTACTAATTTTAATCTTCTATTTCAAAATATTGAAAAACAAGTTCTTTTAAAATCTCAAACGACTCACGCGAAACATTTTTCTGTAATTACGACAACGCGAGAAAATGCTCTGGCTTTACAGATTTTCTTATTGTTAAAAGAACCACTTAACTGTGTGTCACTACTGATAAGAAGCATATTTTTCTTTTTCTTTTTCAGCATCTGATCGCGCCTATCTTATGTTTGTCTTCTCTCAAAGTCAAATAGCATATTATCGAGATATGAAATTATCTTTCAGTTTCAAAAATAAGAGAGTATCATTTTCAGGGCTTTCATAGAACGGAAATATACCAAAGAAATATATAATGTTTCAATCTAATTCACCCAGCAAAATGATGACAATTGAATAAAAAATTGTCCTATATAAATAACATGCGTGTGTGTGCCGTGTGCGCATAAATGGTAAAAATATTAATCTATGCACACACTGCACAAATATTACAATATAAAAATTACATGAAAACTATATTTCCTTTTACAACATTTATTTATAAAGCTAAAATATATAACGGCCTTACGATATTTATTATTATAAAATTTGTGAATTATGTATTTATTTTATTGTTTGTTAACAATTATGCATTTGTTTGTGCATCAAAGATTTGGATAAACACAATTCCTCTTTGTAAAATATGATACAGATAATATAGAAAATGAATTATCCTTTTGGATAATATTATATAATTTTTCATGTTTGTAAATATCTAAATCTATTTCATTTTTGCTTTTATTTTTTCTACCATGATTTTTATCATATTTCTGTATTTTTCAATGGATGTACCGGTTTTAGAAATTAATTTCTCAAATCACAATTTTTGTTCCTTTTTAAAAAAGATTATTTGTACGAAAAAAAATTTGAAAGAATATTATAAAAATTATAATATAGAAATATCAAAACTGATAATCCTATCTGTTGATCTGATAGGAAGCAGTTTACAATAAATATCTCTATAAGTAAAAATATTTATTTTGTATTTTTAGTTAGGAGCCAGAATTAAAAGCCAGAGATAAAAATAAAATTTTATATTTGTTTTATTTCTTTCCAATAAATAACAATCATTTTCTTTCTCAAATAAAAATTCTACTTTGATTAAAATGTTAGCAATTGAAATTTATTTCGAGAGTAGGTAATCTATAATTTGCAATAAAATGCAGAATCAAATTTTATGTGCCTATAATTTAAATGTAATATATATAGATGTATAAGAAACATTTGTAGAATCGAATAAAAATCGAAAATGTTCCAAATGTGTTCCATTTTTAGGCGATCATTTTTCTAATACACAGCGAATAATAGACAGAACTAAAATTTAGAAACAACTCACCGATTCCTTTTAACGTTCTCTTCTCCATGGTTGGTCGAATTACGGTTTCGTTACATGTTGTTAGTTTAGAATTAATTCACACATCGATTAGTCGCACGTCTGTTAGTCATCTGCAAAACAAGACCACAGTCGTAAATAAACACGAAACAACAGCTAGTAAACTGTCATTATTTTATTTGGCACAAGTCATAAACATGCAATTATGCATGTACACGTCTTTGCATGTGCGTGTATGTACGCGCGCGCGCGCGCGCGTGTCTGATTGTGAGTGTGTGTGCGCATTCATGTATACGTGATATATATTATGAATAAAAACCCGAAAATATCTACTTGTAATTTTTATTCGCATCAATTTATATATATATATTTAATAATAATATGCAAATTTTCGAAAAGATAATTGTAGTGCGATTATTGTAATAAATATTGATAATGTAAACACATAGAATGGCTTTGTAAAAAAACGTACAATAAATAAATTTCGCAGTGAATAATAAACATAAGAATGATTTTTGTCAATTATATAAAACAGTCATATACTTATATAGTAACTACATATCTATAAAGAGATGATATAAGATAATATTCATATATAAAGATCAATTTTTCGCGGACGCAAACGAGAGTAATGGTGCCGATTAATCATCTGCGATCCGAATCATTAGATGGACCGCGCATCCATCATGCAAGAGTGTTTAATTTGGACCGCCATGTTCCGACAATATCCATCAACGTGTCATTGGCTGATCGCACTGATAAGAGAACTCGACAAAAATTCTGATAAGAGTCCTTTAACATTATTTTACAATAATTGCTTAGTTTATTGTTATATATGTATTTATTATTACTTATCATTGTTTTGCGTATTACGAAAAAATATAAAATATTTATGTAATTGGAATTGAATGTGAACACCGTAAATTATTAACAGCGTAACAGTTTATATTATTTATATATTTTTATTTATTTCACATATTAATATATGTGTTTTTTAAAAATCATTTAGAAATTTTTAATTATTCAAAGAAGACGAACAATTCAATAAATTTTAACCGAATTTTAAAATTTAAAAGAATTTTATCACTAATTAAGAATGATTTCATATAAAACACTTTATATATTGGTAATACTTTATAATTTGATTTTGAGGCGAATACATTTTATCATAAGCTGATGAATACTTCAGACTATATAGCAAATTCCAGCAACAAGCTACACTCTACTCCTCCACTTGCCCTAAACACGATCTATTCTCGGTGTTTCATTTCAGCATTATTTGCATAATACCGAGAGTATATGTCGCTTCGCATCAGCGAAGATATGGGTTACAAATGCTCGTGACTATCCGGTCGACTAACACTACTGGGATGATTAAAGAATTCGTAATGAAAAATAAATCTAGTTAAAAGATTTATCTCTTCAGGAAAACGAAAAAACTGCTTAATCTGCAATTTTCTTTACTGTAGTTTGTAATTTTTAATGAATGTCTTCCTTCTTCCCTCCCCCTCTTTCTCTATTTAAAAATTGCCACTTTTCATAATATAACTCATTTACTTATTCTTCATGCATCTATAAATGAAATTTTTGGGTTTTCTCTCTATTGATCTCTTATTTCAATATGCAATAATATTTTCAAAGTTTATATATATATATATATATAATATTAAACGCAAATATAATTTATACATACAATTATAACAAAGATTAGGTAGAATCTTTAAATAAGTTATTTAAAATTATTTAATGCTAGATGTATATATATATATGAATTAATAACGGAATTTTTTACTAGGTATATTGTATAATATATTGTAAATCAATAAAAGAAATAAATTTTAATTTTAATAATACTGTACTACGTAAGCTTGATAAACAGTATCTTAGTACATTACGCGATCGATTTGAAACAGGCAAACGTTCATAATTACAGCACTAATATAATTTCCTCATCCAAGAGTAATCTACTCGTCCGCGCATATTATAGATATGCAGTTGTCAAAATAATATCTTAATATGAGTTAATTAATACGTTATATATTTTGGTAATACTTAATCATTCAAATAAACTTTTCACTTTTTTATTTAATTCTTTTTACTTTAATTTACTTCAATTATTTTAACTTATTAACTTCGCAATTAAAAATTTAAAAGCTTATAGCTATGTTACACACAGATGTGTGTGAAAAATGTAGAACATATGATTTAAATAATTTTTATATTGAGAAAATATAAAATACAGAATATTAGTAAGTTAATCTAAAATTAAACAGTAGAATCAAAATTTAACAACAATATTAGAGACATCAATATGTAAAATCTACTAAATCAGTTTAATAAATGAGCTTGTATATCCAGATTACTTGGTTGCTAATCTTTATTGATTGGCTCGTTAAATATAATAACATCATGAATATCCTGCCTTATTTGCAGCATTAGTAATGAGACATATTACTGTTAAGATGTTATAGCGCATGTAATTAAGCTATCAACGGATTATTCCCAACTTGACTTAATTAAATGTATTTTCAATTATTTCAAATCAATATATATTATGACTGCTTTCTATATATACGCATGCGTTATAGTGCAATACATTTGACAATTCTTGATGTAAAATATAATTTGGAATACACCATTGCCAAAAGAGAATAAATCTAAAAGTAATATATCGCAGTTTTCTTGCTAAAATTTTACTAAAAAATATTATATTTTAATGTAGAATGTAATTATAAATAATAAAACATCTTTGTAATTATAATATAAAAATAAGAAGATAATTATAATATAATACGCAACATCTTTTTTTCATTTTAATTACAATTTTAATATTTATAACAAAATATTAATGAAGTTTTGATCTCAATATTATTATAGCAAATTACTAATATAATGGCAATTTATTCAATAATAACATTAAAAGTTAATGCTATTGTTAATATCTTCAAAAGTTACGGCGTAAATCATTTTAAAAAAGATATAATTTTTGTTTGTAACTATGAATGCTATAATAACTGCTTATTCTTTGTGCGAGCAATAACGCCGGTATTGTTTTATGAACCATTATTACGTAAACCGTGACATTATAATTAGTTATCCACTTTTCATAAGTACAATCAAATGTAATTCGGTAACATTACATAAATACATACTATTCTATCTGTTGCAATAGTTTTGTAAGTCTATAATAAAACAAAAAGGATTCCAGTTCACTAAAGCTTTTGTCACATTCCAGGTCAGTGCGCATACATTATTAAGGACTCTTTTAAACACACAATCTATCAGCTTCCTAAAAAAAAGTCTGTAAAACTGTTGATCACGCAAGATTATTATGTGTTAATGTCAATTGTATGCTTATATATCAGACACAAAAAATATTATCTATTTTAAATTTATTTATATTAAATTATTTTTTTTGATACTCTTCGTGATTTTAATTTTTGATTTGACAACATTAATCTGCCTTTTATCATATATTTTTTATAATTTGTATTCGATATTACAATATCTCCATAATAACCCGGATTAGCTCAATGCCGATAAACTGCGTAACTAAAAGCACATTCCAGTTGATTACCATTATTATCCGCAATGTATTATTCATATCTCGTTATATAAATCATAAAATAATTTACAATTACATAACATCATATCTTTTACCGTTAACATCGATCTTGCAATCAAATTTTGAAAGTAATTATATGTAATTAATCGTTATGATTTATATATCATTATGTTTATTGTTATTGAGTTAAAATATTATCTTTAAAAATTTTTTTTTTTTCTAGAGAAGAATTCTAGTTCTTAGAAAAAATCGTGTTTTATATAATGACAAAAATGTTATAACAACTTCTATAAGATAAGATAAGACTATGGCAATTGTGCAACGGTTACAAATTTGTATTCTATATCTATAGCACCTCTTGGACACTTTGGCAAATGTAGTAATTTCTGGGAACGTTGAACGCAGCCCCATGCTGTTATTCATCATCTAGAAGGTTACTCGGCCAATTACGTTTACTATGAATGAGATTGTATATTCTCTCGTTTACATCATTTGCTTATTTCCTTTGCTCTGTGACCATGTAATAGATGTGCCTCAGTGAAGTTGCAAAAATCAAATCTAAAGTGTTCACATTTGCATACATGCCAATATCGTGTTGGTAATTATGCGTTATTGAAACAATAACAATCAATAACAAAGAAGAGCGTAGCATTGCAGAACTAATAGTAATCGTAGGGATAACAAACTAAAATAACGAGAATTATGTGCAAAATTTAAAATAAAAATCGATATTTTTTGGCAATAACTAATTCCACTATAATAAATAAACTATTCTAATTTAAAAAAAAAAAAGAAAAAGTATGCAAAAAATTTCAATTATATCTACTAATTATTATAACTGCAATTATATTCCACATACTATGAGATCGCTGGAAACACGCACATACACACACAATGCTGTTTTTATACCTTTTTCACAGTTATAAAGTGGAAATGTCTGGCAAGTGTCAGACTAACACTACTGGGATGATTAAAGAATTCGTAATGAAAAATAAATCTAGTTAAAAGATTTATCTCTTCAGGAAAACGAAAAAACTGCTTAATCTGCAATTTTCTTTACTGTAGTTTGTAATTTTTAATGAATGTCTTCCTTCTTCCCTCCCCCTCTTTCTCTATTTAAAAATTGCCACTTTTCATAATATAACTCATTTACTTATTCTTCATGCATCTATAAATGAAATTTTTGGGTTTTCTCTCTATTGATCTCTTATTTCAATATGCAATAATATTTTCAAAGTTTATATATATATATATATATATATATATAGAGAGAGAGAGAGAGAGAGAGAGAGAGAGAGAGAATGAAATAGAATAAAGGTTGATTTGTTGTATTTTTGATTTGACTTGACTAAATATGTAAGCTTTTAAGTTTAAGGTTTTAGATTTTAGAATTTAGGATTTAAGATTAAGAACTAGGATTTAAGATTTAAGATTAACAGTTTTCAATTTACTTTGGATTTGGAAATATTAAAAAGCTTAAATTTTGAAGTTAATTTAGATTTTGAGCTTAATTATGATTTTGATTTCAATTGAGATTAAGGTATATTT